CCACACACACACACACACACCTATCATAATATTACATTGTTCGCTTAAGATACTAATAATATGACATTTATATCCCACAAATCAGTGTTACAATCATTGCCCCATGCGCTTTACTTAATATTCATGAAGAACATGCATATGTTCCGTGCAATTTACAGATCGGCTTAATCTTAAGATTGCGCCGCGCGTTTTAATGATCGTATATTGGGCGGCAATCTTAAGATTGCGCTGTACATTTTAATGATCGTATAATTCACTTCCATCTTCATTCTTTTACTCACATCTAGGAACATTCACGTATATTTTCAAAAGTGCAAAAATATGAAAATTTAAATTAGATATGAAACTGAAAAGCTCACAAAAATGATAAAATTATATTATCGTTAAAACGCGCAGCGCAATCTTAAAATTGCCCCACAATCTTAGAATTGCCATGCAATTATACGACCGTTAAAACGTGCAGCGTAATCTTAAGATCTTTAAATTGCGCGGAACACTTACACAGATATCATACGTATACGCATAATAATACATTATGGCAGTTCTACATTTCCTAAAAAATAACAGAGTAGATCATTCAGGCAAAATATTGCGTACACTCTTTCTTACTTTAAATAAGGAAAAATTTGAGACTCATGCCAATTTCAAAAGCGTCTATATTACAAATAAAACAAATTACAGCGGAATTCGGGACTGAAAAAAAAAGTGTTGACTTTGAGCAAGATTGACTTTATCCATTACTCGCAATTGAAATTTTGAAGACTACAGCTACAAAATTACAAAGTACCTGGTAACAAGATGTTAGCTCAATTTCAGTGAGTATAATTCTGAAGTTGTCACCAGAACAAGAGATAATGAGTGAACAAAGTAATTGGAGGTGTGTACACCAATAGCCCAGGACCTAAATATCTCTTATTAAATTAATTTATCTTGTGATTTAGCCCCAAATTGTTGACTTTACGCAAGGTTAACACTCAAGCGGTTGACTGTACATGTATCAGAAACACAATTACTTAAACAAAAAAGGTAAGAAACGGGACCACAGTGAGGTGTTGACTGTAAGCAAGAGTTGACTTTATCAGGATTCCACTGTTTCTGTTATTACTGATCATTATGCTTAAAACAAAAAGTGAAATTAGTTATCATCAACAAAGACAGTGTTCATCATTATGTCAAAAATATTTTTTAAAACAGGGGAATCTGCTGAGATGTCTTCCAAATATGGGTCCTGTTCCAACTTCCTGCTCTGTCTCCTCTTCCTCTTCTTCTTCTTACACCTCCATTTCTCCCTGTGTAAAGCCATGCGCCTCTTCAATGCTGCAATACTTGGAAAATATTTTCCACATTCCTTGTGGCTTCTGCACACCATGCAGCCTTTCTTGACCACAAGGCCACCCTTTTTTTTTCCTTATTTTTTTTTCACCTCACAAAAGTGTAATATTACTATTACATTGGTTCAAGACCC